GTCTGTCTGGATATACTTAAGGTAAAATTCAATATTGTTTGGTTTGAGATTGTTAAATAAAGGTGCAACAAGAAAAAAATCATAGAAATGTACTGGAAAACTGTATAAATGATGAAACCTGTAGAATACAAGAGTCTGCACACAAAAAAAAATAACAACACATATTTTATTTTAAAAAATTAAACAAAAATTATCAGTACAAATTATGTACAAAGGGGAGCAACTCAAGATATTAAAATTTATTCGAAATTTTATAGGAACTCTACATTATTTGACCCTTGCATTTATACAGATTCACCAATGTTAAGAAGATTGCATAAAGATTTCCAGCAGCTTGTTATGGAACATGGAATTCCCTGTCTAAGTTTTGGAGAATTAGAGAAAACCCAAATAAGGACACCTAAACTGAAAATGCTCATAGTACCACCAGAATCTAGTGGTAAGAATAAATACAAGATAAATTTATACACTTGTCATCAACAGCACATATTATGGTATCCCTGTTTGTCTATTTGAAATGTTCGAAATTCTATGGATTTTCTACCCCAGGAATAGAAAACTTTAACTGTATTTGGCAAAACCTTTCAGAATTATCTGTCCTCAATGGCTCTTCAAATTGTACTTTATTTTGCCTTTTAACTTTTTTGATTCAAGCATCACCCATGAGTCTTTTGTTGAGGAAATTTGTGTCTAGCATACAAAATTATAAGCCTGGTTTCTTTGATTAGTTTATCTATCTGTCCATCTACCCAGCATTTTACAGTTGTTTTTTGAGATCAGTAAATGTAAGAAACCTTTCGATTTTGAATATTTTCCAATTTGTCATCCAAGAGTTTCAGGACTAACCAAGTTAGAAATTGAATAAGCAATATTTCACTAGTTGGGCACTGCTCAACTCAAGTGTGATTAATTTTCTTTAAACTTTATATTTTGGGAAAGGTACAAGTGAGGAATTTAAATTTTGAAAAAAAATTGGAATTTGCCGTACCAGAGCTATGGGACCCCAACCATCAAATTACAGGCAAATTTTATAAGCTGAAGGATGTCCTAATGAAATTTTTCTGCAAGCAATTTTTCTGACCTGTGTTTGAATGCCATCTACAATATATTCTTTTTTTGTTTTTTTAAACGATTTCAATATGCGTACAATGAGCATATCTGGCAAAGCTGTTTATTGAAAATCAGGAGACTTTTTTAGTATATTTTTCAAGATAATATCCATATTTTTCACATGCCCGATAGTAGTAACTTTATACCCATCATATCTTAAAATAAATAACACAGAAGTTTTTGGTTCAAATCAAATAAAAAACTTTGAAGGCTGAATTAAGTCAGGTGGAAAATTTAATTTATTTATTGAAGAATCCAATCAGAGCTGAGACATACAAATCATAAAAATAACAATATATATAAAACCAGTAAACTTTAATTAAATAAAGTTGTATATCTTTAAATAAGTAGCACATATTATTTTCATTTCATTAACCAACTGGCAATAACGTTAGTTGTTATGATCAAGAAAGCAGCCAGTACAATGTATTTGAAATTAACATTGAAAATGTCTTCATCTTAGAAGTATTTCAATGTCTAGATATTGTCAAAATATATTTTAATCAGTGTGAATCTTTGTTTTTATGAGTACCAAGAATTTTAGATTATTTTCTGAACATTTTTTTGTAGATCCTGGTATTGGAGAATTTCATGCTATGAAAACCAGTCATCTGAACATATGTAAACCTTGGGACAGAGACTCAGAACTTTATCAAGAAACACTTAAATTTATACGACGATGTCTACTTAAGGGCAGGATAGAAAACATCCTCAAAGCTGGGATGACATTTAAAGACTCTGATAGATAACAGTGTGGACAGACAACACCATTCACAATGCAGTTCATTCATCATATGGAAGGTTTTAACATATGGGGTTCAATTATCTAGTTGAAGATGTTAGAAAAGATTGTTGTTTTATTTAATAAAGGGCATTGACTTGAGGCATTATGTTTTATTCATGATGTTTTGCTTAAGTGTTTAATTCATTGCAGTTTGGTTATCACCAAGATGTACTTTTATACCCCGGCTCCAAAGGAGGGGTATACTGTTTTTCCCGTGTCTGTCCGTCCATCTTATGAAATGTCCATCTCATTTTTTTCAGGAACTAGAAATCAGACCTTCCTGAAAATCGCTTTCAAGGCTCATTAAATTTTTGTTTACCAATACTTATATATATCCTAATACAGAATGGCCATGTTTGAAATTTATTATCAAGCTTCCAGTAAAAATGCTATATGGTGTTCTGCATTTTACACACACATCACTCATTTACTTCCTGTTTACGCTAATACTGATATATTCTTACACATAATGAACATGCATAAAATTTTTGTCACATTTTTCTCTGAATCTACAAAATCACAGCACCCTGCAATTTGTTATCAACAGTTATGCGAGCATGTTATACAGTGTGATTGGTTTTCACATCCATTGCTATTCAACTTCCTGTTTACCGAATACTTTATGCTGGTTATCATTAGTGATTAATAGCTCACAGTTCCAATTGTTTTCATTGCTTTTTATGCAGCATACTATTTAGGTACACCATATTATGATGTGATAATTGTTGTTTTTATTGACCAATTTTCTTGATATTTATATGTATGTTTCCTTGGAAGGTTAAAGCTCCATCTATTCCCCCCCCCCCCCCCCCCACCCCCACTCCTAAACCAAGAGAAGTACTAGAGGAACAACCAATAAAACAAAAAAGGATAACAGTAATAACCAATTATAAGGACAGTACAACAGACCATGCCAACCACCAATACCTAAAAAGTAAAATAACAAAAAATACTGAACTCCAAGGAAAGTCCTTTATCAAATGGCAAAATCAAAAGTATAACACATCAAACGAATGGAAAATAACTTGTCATATTCCTGACTTGGCACAGGCATTTGCTTATGTAGAAAATGGTAGATTAAACATGGTTTTATAGCTATATAAACCTCTCACTTGTATAACGGTCGCATAGAATTCCATTATATTGACGACATAGTGTGAGCAAAACAAACAGACATATTAATAGGTGAAAATGTAAAAAATTGGGGTACAGCAGTCAATATTGTGTTATAATCTTAATCACCATAAAAACAAACAACAATGTCAACAAGGAAAAACAAAATGGTATATAGACAATCTATAGACAAAGCACAGAAGCAAAATGAAAGACAAGAATACAGAAAATTTGTAAGGGGTTCTACGGAACCATGTGTCTCGCCAGCAATTGCTGCTATCACTGTAAAAGTGTAATGTTGACTTAAAAAGTGAGTCCATTTATCAGTAAAATATGGAATTTAAAAAAAAATTGTCTTTAGATGCTATTTCGTGGTGTTGAAGATTAGCTTTTGTACAAGTTTCATAACAATTCATGCAGGTTTAAAAATTTATCATGTCAAAAAAGTTTAATCCCAGACTGTTTGTAAATGTTGACTGTAAACAACTTAGTCCATCTATCAGAAAAAACTGAAATGAAAATTTTTTTTTCAAAAGTCTGCTTCAGGCATTATCTCTTAATCATAAAAAAGCTTGTGCCAAAATTTCATAAAATTCTATGAAGGTTTGATAAAGTAATTGATGTGTAACAAACTTTTAACTCCAGACTGAATCTATTTGTTAACTGTAAAAAAAACTAAATTCATTTATTAGATAAATACAGAAATTACACCATTCTAGGCCCTTTTGTTTTTCATAATTAATATTACCAATAATAAACAAGTTCCGGGTCGAATCTGATACCGATACCAATAGTATATGTCACCTGGAGTTTCCGGTTGTAGTGTATGTATGTTATGTATCTTCCTTCTTTAATAGGAGCACCACCATTGGTTATGGTGTTAAGGAGGACATTTAACACACTGTATCAGTACAGATTTAATGAGAGCATTTGCCTACCCAGTTTCCCAGCCTGGCCGTAATGGGTCTTACTACCAGAAATTTAACCCCCCAAAAACAATAAATACAATGCAATAAAACAGACGAACATATGCTCACCTGATTCGCTCATCCCCAAAATATAAAAAATGCAATAAAAACAAGTAAGAAAACTGTGCAACCTTATAATCAGCGTGACTTTATCAGATGACAATACTAATACTAAAAATTCGTGCTAAAAATTAGGCGCAAGTACTATAATTCAGCTACGGACCCGCGATGTCGCGGTTGTGTTCTAGTATCCTTTGTTTTTCTTTCACTATATATAAATATTAAACACCATATTTATTTTAATTTTAAATCTAAACAGAGATCAAAATTATATTCTTTCATACACATCTCTTGAAAACCATACGACTCTTGTTAACCATGTTAATTTTATATAGGAAGGCCTGTTTATTTCCAGACCACTGAGTACTTATAAAATGAATTTGATTAAATACAGGGAATCTTAGAACAAAGAAATTTTGAATTGATACAAAGGAATAGCTATTTCCATTTCTGAAAATCTACATTAATGTTGTCTGTTAAATAATGTAAGTTCTGAACTTAGCCTAATTCCATAATAGTAACTAGTGTTTGCTTAGATCTTTAATCAATATTCCAGGCATCACCAACGGCTAAAAATTCATTCCTTTTGTGAGTTATTGTGATGATGGTTTGCTGTCTCATTAAAGAATACTAAATTTTGTATTTTTATGCCCCACTTACGATAGTAGAAGGGCATTATGTTTTTTCGGTCTGTTCGTCCGTTTGGTCATCCGTTTGTCCGTATGTCCCGCTTCAGGTTAAAGTTTTTGGTCAAGGTAGATTTTGATGAAGTTGGAAGTCCAATCAACTTGTAACTTAGTACACATGTTCCCTATGATATGATCTGTCTAATATTAAAGCCAAATTAGAGTTTTGACCCCAATTTCACGGTCCACTGAACATAGAAAATGATAGTGCGAGTGGGGCATCCATGTACTATGGACACATTCTTGTTTCATATCTTTTCAGAAAAATCAAAATCATGATGATTTATGGCACTTTTATTTTATACACTGGGGTACATCTATCAGGTGTAAAATATCCATTTAATTCACATTTACATATATTAGGAGGATTACTATATAGAGTATGTGAAAGTTTTTGAAATAATGTCACACAGTTTATTAGTCCAGCTTGTCGTAAATTATTTTTCATTTCTGTAAATTTCTCTAGAATTTCTGGATCACTATTTCTTTTGACCATATCATTCAATGCATTCAGCTGAAATAAAAAAAAAACATATAGTAATACCAAAAAATATTTTAGTACCTTATAAAAATCAAAGTGCTTGTAAGCACAGAAGGATAAAGATTGCTTAAATTTATTAGTGGGAAGTAAAGTTAAACATTGCTTTGTATGAAGCATTGGTTGTAGTTGATTCAATTACAATTATGGACAAAGGTAGATAATTCCAATTTTAAAGATTATTAAACAATGACATCATTGATATTTTTAAAACAGATATTAGATTCCTGCACCTTGCACAAGTTATGTAATTTTCTGGACAAGTATAACATCATTTTGTAACTTGAATATCTGAGCATATATTTCATTGATAAATTTCTGGAAATGTTCATAGATAGGATGTTTTGAATGTTATGATCAATGCACTATATTTTGTGTATCTCAAAAGTAGTGACAAACCTTGGAAGATTTAGATATCAAGTCAATAAAATGCAATCTTTACCCAAAAAATCTTGCAATTAATTTTTTCATATGCTAGTACATAATATTAAACGTTTTAAAAGTAAATATCACGTCATCAACTAGACATTAGAATTCTTGTATATTCAGGGGTGAAAAATGTTTTTAATTTTTTCTTTCACTGAACATATTACCATTTGCAATTGTAAATCATTTTTAAGAAATACTTTTTAAAATGTTTCAATAACAAAATGTTTAAATATTGCTAATGACCACTGGCTCCAATAATGAAATATGTCTCTACCTCTTTTGATAAGGGGAGGTCTCCAATTTTGGAGGTAATACAAAAAGTTGCACAAGTTGTCATGCTAAGCATACTCCCACTCATAATTCAAAGTATCATCAAACAAGAAGGTATTGACAGACCTTGTCAATCTGCTGAACAAATATAAAGTCATTCTGTTCAGTAGTTCCTGAGAAAAAGGTGACAAAATTAACTTTTTCATTCAACATATGGAAAATTCAAGTATCTGCAAACAGGAAATAAGTGTAGGAGGAGTAATACCACCATTGATTTTCCCCTATTAGTCTTTGATAAATTAGCACTTTTCAAAAAAAAGTGCAGAATTTATCTTTGTTTCAAATAAATAAATACTTGGCATGAGTAAAGTTTTATCCTGTCCAGTACTATAGACAAAAATTCACATAACAATTCATTGCATATAAGATAATAACCATCACTGGAAGTTAACCAATCAAATTTTCACCTCTTTTTTTTTCCTGTTACAAGCTTTAGTAACCATGTAACCACAAGTTTTCAAAATATTTTATACAAACAGCAAATAATAAATGTGGATAGTGTCCACATGTGGACACAGATGATGCCCCGCTTGCATATCATATAGTTATAAAGGGACATAACTGAAGAATGGTAAAAGTGACGCTACCCAAATTTGAACTTGATCTGAGTTTTGTGGTAATAAGCATTGTGTGTAAGGCTCATAACATTTGGTTGAGGCTAACTTAAGTAGAGAACAGAAACTAAAAATTCAGCAATTTTTTTATTTGTAAACACGCATAACTCTAGAACGGTTGTGTATAAGTTTTATAACATTTGGTTGAGGCTAACTTAAGCAGAGAACAGAAACTAAAAATTCAGCAATTTTTCTATTTGTAAACACCCATAACTCTAGAAAGGTTGTGTATAAGTTTTATAACATTTGGTTGAGACAAACTAAAGTTAGAGAATAGAAACGAAAAATTCAGCAATTTTAATGTTTATAAAGGGACATAACTCAAGAATGGTAAAAGTGTCGCCACCAAATTTCGTACTTAATCTGTATTATGTAGTAATAAGCATTGTGTATAAGTTTCATAACATTTGGTTGAGGCAAACTAAAGTTAGAAAACGGAAACAAAAAATTTGTACTTGATCTTAGGTTTCATAATGTTTGATTGGGGCAAACTTAAGTTACAGAATGGAAACTAAAAATTTTGCAATCTTTCGATTTATAAAGGGGCATAACTCAATAATGGTTAAAGTGACACTACCCAAATTCAACTTGATCTGTGTTTTATCAGTGGAAGTCAAAATTAAACATTGCATTGTATAAAGCATTGATTGTAGTTGATTCAACTATAATCATGGATAAAGGAAGATAACTCCAATTTTAAAAATTACTTGATACATGTATTTAGAAGAATATAAAAATTTTGCAATTTTTCCATTTATAAAGGAGCATAACTCTAGAACGGTTAAAGTGACGCCACCAAAATTCAAACTTGATCTGTGTTTTGTGGTAAAAAGCATTGTGTATAAGTTTAATAACATTTGGTTGAGGCAAACTTAAGTTAGAGAACGGAAACTAAAAATTTTGCAATTTTTCCATTAATAAAGGGACATAACTCTAGAACGGTTAAAACGACATCACCAACATTCACACTTGATCTGTGTTTTATAGTTATAAGCATTGTGTGTAAGTTTCATAACATTTGGTTGAGGCAAACTTAAGTTAGAGAACAGAAACTAAAAATTTTGAAATTTTTCCATTAATAAAGGGGCATAACTCAAGAACATTTAAAGTGACGCCACAAAAATTCAAACTTGATCTGTGTTTTGTGGTAATTAGCATTGTGTATAAGTTTCATAACATTTGGTTGAGGCAAACTCAAGTTAGAGAACGGAAACCAATTTTGGGACGTACAGACGGACGTACGTACATACAGACGGACAAGGGTAAAACTTAATGCCCCCACCGCTACGGCGGGGGCATAAAAAAGATTGGTGCTTTGAAACACCCAAGATATATGTTTATGACTCAGAATTTTTTTTCTGCAATGAAATGCAGGGTTAACTTCCTACAACTGTCAAATTCAAGGGAACATTTTTTTTCTACTCTTTTTTGTATGAAACCTGATGTGATATACTATGATTTGATGGTATTACACCTAGGACAGTTTGGAAAAGCATTGACACATTACAAATCATTTTGTCAAGCTGCTGAACAAATATGCAGTCATTCTGTTCAGTAGTTCCTGAAAAAAGAGTGACTAAAATAATTATTAGACAAAGTGATTGCAATAACTGTCATAAATTCAAGATTTCAAATTGGTGTTTATCTATTTATATATAAAGTGTTGAGACAGTAATCCTATTGAGCACATGTATAATGATTACAAACTTACACATTCTGGGTATATTCTAATTGGCTTTTTATAGGTTCCACCTATCTGATTATGGAAAGAATCTAACATTTGAAATGCTTCATGAACTTTGTCTAATTTTGCCAGAGCCATGACCTGAAATAAACCGCAAAATAATTATTAATGGTACATTCATCATACAGTTAACATTCATACATTCATACATTAAAATACAATATATATCACTAGTATATACACAATTCAATCATTCAAACATACAAATGGCAATAAATGGCAATAATTAGTAAAGTTTTGATTAAATTTTCTTATTCTTACAATAAAAGAAAGAAAACAAATTATTGGACTTGCATAGAATTTTCAAGAAAATGATTTTAACAATGTTTCTTAAATAATTCCACATTTCGACAATTTTATATTTTGAGTGGTAAATTATTACGTACCTTTGTTGCAGAATAATGAAAAGATTTTTTATAAAATTTTGTATTTGGTCTTGGAACAAATAGATCATTATTAGAGACTGATCATTAATATTTAGCATTGTTAAGTAATCAGGTGCTAGTCCATTTACAATTTTATACATTAGAATTGATTGTTGGTATTTTGTAAAAGATAGCCCTTTTAAAGATGAAAACATAAAATTAGATGGAACAGAAATATCGCATTCAAGTATAATTCTTGCTACTCTTTTTTGAAGTTTTATGATTCTATCTGAATCTTTTTGTAATAAATTTCCCCAAACTGAACTACAATAGTCTATATATGGTAGAATATATGCATTATAAAATAGTTGTCTTGTGTGTATAGGCAAATATACTTTAATTTTAAACAAAAGTGATATTTTAGATGAGATAATCTTGCATATACGATCAACATGATCCTCCCAGCTTAAATTTTCATCAATGTCAATTCCAAGTAATTTGAAAGAATGGACATTTTCAATACATGTTTCATTGATGGTAATACATAATTCTGATAGTTGTGTAAGTTTTTGTTTTGAACCCAATTTCATACACTTTGTTTTTTGTGCATTAATTTTCATACTGTTATTGTTACACCAAGATTGTATAGCATTTATATCATTTTGCAATATGCTGTTTATTTTTTCAATGTTTTTATTATGAAAATGCAATGTTGAATCATCAGCATATAAATCCATGTCGGATTGTTTAACATGAAATGGTAAATCATTTATATAAATTAAAAATAACAGAGGACCTAAAATAGAACCTTGAGGCACTCCATATTTTACAAACGATTTATCAGATTTAATGTTATTGTATTGAACTTATTGATGTCTCTCAGACAAATATGATTTTATCCAATCTATCGTATGTTCTCCGATATGATAAAATCTTAACTTTTCTAAAAGTATGGCATGGTTAATAAGGTCAAAAGCCTTACTGAAATCTAAAAACACAGTACCAACTATTTCTCCATTGTCTAAATATTTTAACCATTCATCAATTAGTTTAGTCAGCGCTGTTTGACATGAATGACCTTGCCTGAAACCTGACTGAGCGATATGTAACAATTTTTTATTATTTAAGAATGCATATAACTGTGTACATACATGTCTCTCAAAAATTTTAGATATGGTATTTAAAATAGAAATTGGATGATAATTGGAGGATATATCTGTTGGTCCTCCTTTATGTATAGCAGTTACTCTTGCTAGTTTTAATTTTTGCGGAAAACGATTCGACGTTATACTTTTGTTTATTAGAAAAGTTAGTGATGGCGATATTATCTCTGCACTTAGCTTTAAAAGTTTTGGACCAATTCCATCTAAACCTGCGGATTTATTAATATTAAGGTGTTTTAGTTGTTAACACACCTCTCCAACAGAAATGAGTTTTAATTTAAAAATTTCAGTTTCCTTTAATTTTGTACTTGTAAAAGTTTGTAGCTTAGAAAAATCCATATCTGAAGTATTATTTCCAATAAGTTTTTCAGCTACGGAAGAAAAATGAACATTTAGTGTATTAACAATATCTTTGGGGTTATAAACAGTTTGATTTTCATACTGCATTTTAGGTGGAAAAATATTATCTCTATTTTTGGATTTAACTCTTTGATTCCAAAGTTCTTTACTATTTTTGGAACTAGATATAGCGTTTTGATAATATTCCTTTTTTGCATTAAATATTAACGACGTTGTTTTATTACGCCACTTTTTAAAGTTTACCCAATCCTTTTTTGAATGATACATATTTCTGTATTGAATGGAATTTTTAATTTCTTCATTGAACCATTCGGCTTGTTTAAATGTTTTTACTCTTTTAGTTTTCATTGGTGCGTGCTTGTTAATAACTTGATTAAAAAGTTCATACCATTTGTCGACAGAAATGTCAATATCTAATGTTCCATTTCAACAATATGAAAAGGGGTTTGATGTAAGTCTGCACAGAAGGCATCTTCATTAAAGTTTTTGAAACACCTTTACTTTATTTCGATATGATTTTCTTTCTTTACCTTTATATTGATTTTTCTATTTAAGCATACAGGGTAGTGGTCACTTAAAGCATATGAAGGAACATGACAATGAGCAATATTTTCAGGATTAGTAGTGTAAATATGATCAATAAGAGTTTCTGATTTGTCACAAATACGTGTTGCAGTGCAAATTTGTTGTTGAAGATTAAAATGGTTTATGAAATTCATCCATTTTTTATTTTCAATTTTTATCAAGTCAATATTAAAGTCCCCCATTAAAATTATCTCTTTGTATTCTGAAAGAGCTGCATTAAATTCCTCCTCAAAAAGATCTATCCAGGACTGAAGGGAATTTGGTGGTCTATAAACAGTACAAATGAAGAAAGGTTTAGATTTTGGAAATTCTACCTCTAACCATAAAGTTTCTAATGTGTTTATTGATAAATCAGATCTATTTTTAACTGCAATAGAATCTTTGACATAAATCAATAGACCACCACCATCCTTACTCTGGCGATCTTTTCTGAAAATTTTGTATCCTGGCACTTTACATTGTTCATTGTTAATATCAGGTTTTAAGAATGTTTCAACTAATCCAAATAAATCTAAATATCTGTTGTTTATAGTAATTATATTCTTTAACTCAATTAATTGATATGATTTCCTATTGTTTACACTTGTGAAGTGGAATGTAAACTAGAGGCTTCAATGAGCCTGTATTGCTCACCTGGCATTTTTGCATAAAATTGATACAATGCAATAAGACTATTTCCAGTACTTTCGACAACAAATACAAAAATGTGTAGAAATTGTCATTCAAGGACAGTAAATCCTATAAGCAGTCAACTGACAATTTTGGCCATTTGATTTATCTTAGTTAATTCTAGATCCTGCTGATGATTTTTGTTATGTACAGATTCTCTCTATCTACTACATTTTCCACCAAAAAACAGCATAAAAGTTGGTAAACATTGTCATTGAAGGACAATGTCTCTCATAATGAGTAAACTAATGATTTCTGCTATATTCACCTATTTGTAGGTCTTATTTTGCTGATCACTTTTGCTAGTACAGTTTCTCTGTCAACGTATATTTGTTCCGCCTAACAGAAGTTCCACTGGAAACTTTGTTATAAACAATGTCATAATATCTATTCCTGTTGGAACAAATATTCTATACCATTTATTCCGTTAGGAACATATACTGTAATATTTATTCCTGTGGAAATAATATTCCAGAATATTTTTTCCTTTCGGAACTTATATTATGAAGGAACTTCTGTTCCGTGACATCTCTCTATCTACTAAAGTTTAAGTACAAATCACAAAATTAGGTCAAAGTCTTAAAAGGCCATGTTGCAATATTTGTGACTGAATTTTGCTTAAAATGACTAGGTTCCCAGATCTGGAAAAATGGGAAAACATTCCTCAAACAATTCCATACTAGAAGGTGCGCAACTTCAACATATATACAATCATTATTTATTTTGGATTCTATTTTAATGGTTAAAATATTACATTTCAACAATACAGTTCATGTTGCAGATCTGTTTTTTGGATGCCATCTTGGTACCATAGAAGCCTAGTGCAAACTTGTATTCTTGTTACAAAATGAAGTTGCCACTTTTACAGTTTATTCCCTATATAAGGAACTCAAGTATCTACTTTGTGAATAAATAACACCTTTTAGTTGTATAATGAGAGAATACAGGTGGAAACCCAGTTGAAATTAAACAAAAGAAATGGAGCTCTTTGTTAGAGAAGGTAAAAAAGGCCAAGTTGGTAAATTTGAATTGTTTACATCTGTTTCTATGGGCTTTAAAAGTTGAATGAATGTGCCTAATTTAGGATTTCATGCGTCTTATGTATGTGTTTTTACTTAAATTATGGTATGGAGCTTCGAGAATTTCGAGATATTTGTAAACTTTTAAATTATAGACACATTTTCACAAAACAGTCGATAGTGGTAGGTGCAAATACATGTGGATCTTTTTTGTGCATAAGCATAAATTCCGCCGAAAAAAAATTCCAAGGAAAGATAATAGATTGATCTTTTTAAAACATTAATTTGCGTCTCTGCCCCCCGCAATTTTTTTGGGAAAAAATTCCCAAAATTGGCAATAATTTCATCGAAAAGAGAAAGTCGAGTACACCTTTTTATGTTCAGGCGTGTTTGAGTTTACTATTCTGTCTTGAAAACGTATTAAAGAAAAATATTTGATACATCATTTCGATTCAGATTCTATTATTTTATATATTTAGGCTCTAGGTTGATATAATAGCATTAAAAATTTACAGTACTAAATAATGAAATATATGGGTCAAGTGAAATACCTTTCTAATGAGTCATAACAACAAAGTAGGTGTGTTCAAATAATAAATTTTTACCAAAAATTATTTGATGACCGACTTTTCAAGTGGATCTTAAAAATGCATAACTTCAAAAAAACTTCATTTTTTGTGTGTTATCTAGGGTAATTAGTCTTCAACCGCTGAAGATTTTTAGTCTGCCCTTCCATGAAATATTTAAGTAGATTTTTTTTCAAATATTTTTGAAATTTCAAAAATTCCCCCTGACAAACGATCAAACAATAGTTTGAAGTTGACCAAATGCATAAAAGTACATTAAATGATGCTCAATAGATAGTAGAAAAATTTTTCTTTTAAAATATAACAGGCATATAAGGATCATAATGATAATATGTGGACAAATTTATCAGTTTTCAAGAGCTAAATTGACAGCACATCATCACTACAATGGCTTCCATTTTCACGATTATAAAAATTAGGTGGCGTAATGGGGAGATGATTTTGACGAATCCTGAATGAAAAATACATAAAAAAGGGACAAAAAGAATCACTACTTATACTTACTCTTATAGCTGAGTTTATATTATTGAATGACTTTCAGAACCAAGCTGTAGAATATTCAATGCCAGATTAGGATCATCCTGAAACAAATGTTACAATAGTTCATATAGTATTAGTCTAAAATGATTCAATATTGTACATTCTTCTATGTAAATAGTTATTCCATTGACAGGAATAAAATGTAGGAGAGAGTTGGAATTTTGCTCTTTAAAGATTTGATGTTGATGTCAGAAGTAGGGTTAACCTCAATAAGTATTTTAACAATGTCAACGTCAAAGAGAAATTAAATGTTGACATATGTATAGACATGTTGAAGGCCTAAATATTCACATCTACATGTCTTTCTGGTTTTATTTTGTTGTTGAGATGCTGTACATGTCTATTCATGTATACCAAAATCTTCAATATGATTTTTTGTTGAGCCTCTTTGACTCAATTAGATAAGTTTCATTTTAACATGTTTTTTTTAAATAATATAATTCTTGCTCAGTATTTTCAACATAATTATAGAATAATTCGGAACGACACAAATGGACATGCTCGCAAAAAAAAAACTTGAAACAATTCTAAGAGTGGAAATTTGAGAATGAAAGTCTGTATAACTGTTATTTTCATAAAATGCTCAAAGTCCAAAGCTGTAAATTCAGCAAAAAATCAATGGAAGGAACCAAATGTAAACTCGATCTGTAACTCCTCATTGTAGACCAACTAAAAATCAGCTCAATATGTGAGGCATTTAGAATAAAGTCTGTATAACTGTTCGTTGTGGAATGATGGAATAACGGAATGACAGAATCTGAATGACAGATAAGGGTAAAACTATATGGCCCCGACAACTTTGTTGCAAGGCCATAAAAGAATTTCTACCAGTGCCTGAACAAAAAATTAATTAATGAATGTGCATAGCGCATGATTTAATTATTAGTGTTGTTTCGTAACAATGTGAATATTTTTGATATTTGATAAATGACACACTGCTGAAGAGTAATATCTGTATTATTATACCTGTCTTAATGCTAAAGCTGCAGCAAATGCTCATGCCTTTGGTGGTGTCACGGTTATATCTTGTTAATATTTGTCGCGTATGATTTCAACAGCTTTCTCCAAAGCTTCCAACGTATTCTAAAAAAAAAATTGAATACTGTAACAAAATCAAAGTAAAAGATAGCAAAAATCACAAATTCTTCTCTTTCACGGCATTTCTGTTAGGTATGCAACTCTGTGAGGAATTACTCATTGAAAACACATTTGTTTTACTGAGTGATTCTGAGTATTGTACTTGCTTGGTAAAATATCTTCAAAATGAGAACACAAACTGCAACAATGGATCAGGAACTACTCAAAGAATTAGCGCTGATGTGTGTGCATACATGGTAATTTACCAGTAACATTTTTATGTGATCTTCGACACTTTCTGTCTCATACATCCAATCAAAAATGAAATTGATTCAATGTTGTAAGTCAAGTGTAACCATTTGATTTGTAACTATCCTCCTTACCATTAAATTACTAACTTTTTTGAAAGTTTTTATTGGTGACACTACCCCCTCTCCCCCTCTCCCTTTACCCTGCTTGAAAAATTACTGGACCAGCCCCTGACAATTACATGTATGCACATTTCAGGTAGTTCGGGGGTATAGAAAAACTAGAGGCTCTCAAGAGCCTGTGTCGCTCACCTGTATTTACTGATGCTTTCGAAATCATGTAAAATAAGGTTAAAATCATAATTAATAGTATTAGATATTAGATATTATAATGATATCTAAGATAATAACAAAAAACTGCAAAATTTTTGTAAAATTACTAACTCAGGGGCAGCAACCCAACAACGGGTTGTCGGATTCGTCTGAAAATTTCAGGGCAGATAAATCTAAATCTGATGAACATTTTTGCTACCTGTCAGATTTGCTCTAAATGCTTTAGTTTCAGAGATATAAACCAAAAACTGCATTTTACCCCTGTGTTCTATTTTTAACCAAGTCGGCCATGATAGTTGGAAGGTGGGATCATCGGAAATTTTTTTTAAACTAGATACCCTAATTATGATTATGGCCAAGTATGGTTAAATTTGTCTCAGTAGTTTCAGAGAAGAAGATTTTTGTAAAAGATTACAAAAATTTACAAAAAATTGTTAAAAATTGACTATTAAGGGCAATAACTCCTAAAGGGGTCGACTGACAATTTTGGTCATTACAACTTATTTGTAGATCTTACTTTGCTGAACATTATTGCTGTTTACAGTTTATCTCTATCTATAATAATATTCAAGATAATAACCAAAAACTGCAAAATTTCCTTAAAATTACCAATTCTGGGGCAGCAACCCAACAGCAGGTTGTCAGATTTGTCTGAAAATTTTAGGGCAGATAGATCTTGACCTGATAATGCCAGATTTACTCTAAATGCTTTGGTTTCAGAGATATAAGCCAAAATCTACATTTTACCCCTATGTTCTATTTTTAGCCATGGTGGCCATCTTGGTTGGTTGGCTGGGTCATTGGACAAATTTTTTAAACTAGATACCCTAATGATGATTGTGGCTAAGTTTGGTTAAATTTGGCCCAGTGGTTTCAGAGGAGAAGATTTTTGTAAAAAGCTAACGATGACGGACAACGATGACGACGACGGACGACGGACGCCAAGTGATGAGAAAAGCTCACGTGGCCCTTTGGGCCAGGTGAGCTAAAAATGACAGGATTTTCTTATACTTTGTGGACTTAAAACTTTTTTGCATAGTTATTGAAAAAATACAATAAAATTTGGGGGTCACTGGCCATCCAAATTATTTTTTGACCTCTGAAAATGAGTGCAAATAGGGTAATTTCTCAATGGATATACATGTATAGGGAAAATGGACATAAAACCTCTTTGATTGAATATTCACAGCAAAAAAAATGACAGAAGTTGCTCATTTTTTCATTCTGAAAACCTTGATGTCTCTATTTTATAAAATTGGAATAAAATTTGGGGGTAACCGGCAATATAAGAAAAATAATTTATTTATTATGACTGGTTTACCACGGAAACAGACTAAAAGTAACAATTCAGAAATATAGCAATTTTTATGAATGGAGAAGTTTGATATCAACATATCTTTAAAAGTTTCCATGGGAATTCAATAAAATTTGGAAGGGTAATTAGGTACTACATATGTATTTGCAGAAGCAAAAGTTGATTTTAGGGGTTTCCTTTGGTAAAACACGGACTTGGCCATTACTCCATTTCAATTGTCATCAACATGTCGCTTGCAATTTCCATCAGTAAGAATTTATTAAAACTTTAAAGGATTATTTTAAGTATCATTTGTAGATATGCAAATAGCCTAAGAGCAATTTATTTTTTATTTACCAAACTGACTTTGTGGTCTTTTATGGTAAAACAAGGACTTAGCTATTTATGTGTACTCTATATATTTCTCCTTTCTGAGGAGTACCACCATGAGATATGGTGTAAATAAGACATTTAGTACATGGAACAGGCATAGATTAATGTAAGCATTCCTTATCCAGTTCAGCAGTTAGGCTGTGATGGTTCTTACTACCACAAGGTTAACTACCTTCCAATTCTGTTTGTGCGGGGGGCACTTTAGTCATTTTTGGAAGGGATAAGCAGCCGCGACATCCAGTTCCCTACCATTTTCATATATTTTGAATATTTAAAAAAACATACCCTATCATATTTTTTGCCTCAAAATATAGCTATCATGAATATGTTATTTCCTTGAGAGATAAATATATTTGACATACATGTACATGTATATCTGATCATGATGCATTCACACAGTGGTTTTATATTCTCATCTATGAAAAATACAAAATCTGATTAGTTTCAGATACTTACGATATAATCAACAACATAATCAAATATTTTATCTAAATGTTTTGACAAGTCCCTTATATATTATCAAACTTGAAATATTTACAAATTCCACAGACTCCTCCGTACAACTCATTACAAATAAGACACTTCCCCTCCCCACCCCCATAATACCTCCCACAAAACATATATTATAAACTTTTCATAGTTTGCATGGTAAAGAATGGACAAAACCATTTCTACAATTGTAATTTGTCATAATTCACATATCTCCTATATGCAGCATCCATAGGACTTCATTTATTTTTTTAATTATTAGTTTTAGTGATTCCACCATTGATTACCATAATCTGTGGAGGCAGTCTCCATACATTTTGCTTCTCTTTTGTGCACATTAACAAACATAGCTTGTCTTGCATGGATAGATGGTTGCCTCTGGGTTGAAAAATAAAAATTTCTTAAACTTTGCACAGCTGATCCAAACAATACTTTCATCAAATAAACTGTTAACACAGAGATATGTCTCGTCTATTTGTTATTTTGATAATGCAAATGTTGAAATTAAAATAACAATACTTTTAACATGTAAGTTATGCAAATATTCAAAGTCAATGAACCATGACTAAACGTACAGGGCTAAACAATCTCCATGGAAATGAGATGTGCCAATGCTTATACAACTGCATACCAAATACCATTGACTTTTCATAAATCGTTCCCTGTAAAGAAACCTAAACACAAACATTAACTTGTAAACTAAGCAAAAGTTTCAAAGTCAATAGACCATGACTGAAGGGGCGGGGCCAAATAATCTCCATAGAAATGAGATATGCCAATGTTTATACAACTGCATACCAAATATCATTGACCTACCACTAGTGGTTCCCCATAAACTGACCTAATCACAAACTAATACATGAAACCAAAGAAAAGTTTCAAAGTCAATAGACCATGACTGAAGGGGCGGGGCCAAATAATTTTCATGGAAATGAGATATGCCAATGCTTATACAACTGCATACCAAATATCATTGTCCTACCACTAGTGGTTCCCCATAAACTGACCTAATCACACACTAATACATGAAAACTAAGCAAAGTTTCAAAGTCAATAAACCATGACTGAGGGGGCGGGGCCAAATAATCTCCATGGTAATGAAATGTGCCAATGCTAATTCAACTGCATACCAAATAGACGTATTTACACTTGTATGCAAATTTGTCCGCCATTACGTAAAATCACACAGGTTCCCGTAAAATTTGACATCATAATTCAAAACATTTGACGTCACAATTAAAAAGTGATTGTTGCCTGACGTCATTCGGAGGCAAAATATAGCTAAATACCAAAAGTGTAAATACATTTATATCATTGACCTACCACTAGTGGTTCACCATAAACTAGACCTAATCACAAACTAATACATTATTGACGCCGCCGACGCTGGAAACAGCATACCTATGTCTCGCTTTTTGACTCCATCAAGGCGAGACAAAAATTATAGAAAAAAAGTTGGTGGTTACCCGTTACCCGCCATTTAAAAAAATTATTAACTCCAGAAAAAATCAATTTTAGGCTTCTTTTGTTAAGATTTAGAGGGATAATTACTCCTTTTTCTCTACCAGTCATAATTTTAGGAAGAAATGAATGATAGACATTTCTCATTTATAGATATGAAGTACCACAATTTTAAGTCTTAAAAACCTTTGCCATAGAAATATGTGCATCAGTAATATCTCAGATGTTAAATTCTCCAAAAGAGTATACTTGTATATTAAATGTGAATTTTTGATTCACTAGTAAATATTTGCTGCCAAAACTGATTCAAAGAAATGTCTTTATATATAATATATATATATTTATACGTCTTCGTAACAGACGTAACTACTTATTCATATAGCTGGCAGAATCTCTATATTTCCTACAATGCTTTTTCACAACATAAACAATGAAGTACCTGGATTTTCTTAAAATTCCACAGAGTGAAGCTTTTCCAATGAGATTTCAGGCCATTTGTTTAATTTTTTTATGCACAGGCCTTGTTTAGCTGACTGTACAGTATGGACATTGCTAATTGTTGAAGGCCTAAGGGTGACTAAGAGTATAACATCATTGTTCTTTGGTCTCTGGTGGATATTTAAAGTAAACAGGTAAAAAAAAAGAAACTTGTTAACACTTCTTACATTTAAGAGGACATTGCAGATATTTAGGTCCACTCAATGAGATATTTAAGTCCAATTGTCAGATATTTTAGTCGACATGTCATATTAAACTTTAAAAAAATCTGATATCTTATTTCTTTAATT